TCATTGCATCCTGGGCATATGGCTCATGAAGCATCTCATTCATGTATCATCCATTTTAACGCACATTCGAGAATACTGTTGCATACATTGTTCAACAGGCTCGGACATGTTTTGTCGCGAATTTCTGGTATCACCTGTCGATCAGAATACGAAGCGTTGTTGAGTGTTCTCACATCAATAATATCATCCCTTCCACAGTCGCTGCTAATCTGTGCGTCTCTGTTACCTACGTTCGCATTGATATCTTGGCAACATGTAACATCACGTTCACAACCTGTGACATGTTGGCCAAGTGTTTTAGCCGTTAGCTTTGACTTCGGCATGCTACTGCATTTGCCAGCATGTTAGTCGCAAGCGTCACAGGTCAGTGATGCATAGCGGGGGTGATAGCAGAGATTGTGAAGGGGAGCCCAAATTTTTGCTTTTTTTCATGACTTTCATATGTTATCATGATTATTCTTTGATGTTGCTTGTATCTCCTGAAGGTAGGATCCCGGCAAAAATCGCTTTCCAATCCACCATTCCGGAGCCTTCACGAAGCACATGTGAATTCAAGAAATGAAACCATCTGACGGATGCAAACAATCAATAAGAGTACAGACATGTTGCTATTCGCTGAGGTACGCTGCAAAAGCGGTCATAAAAATTTTTTGTTGCTAAAAGTTTCCAACATCGCATCGCATCCAACAGTGCACAACCGCCAAATGATAGAGTGATATTGCTAGCAAGACCAGACAAGACAAGCAACAGCGAGAAAAGCATAAAAAAGTGCGTCGTCTCCAATAATTTCTGCACTAGTAACGAGAAGGAAGAGGAATATGCTTATTCGCGGATCCGGGAAAGACAAACAATCGAGAGTGGTATATGGCATACCGACGATGTGTTTGCGAGCCATTCTGTTCCCTGAAGCGGGACGCACTGTGGGCCAAGAGTGTGAGCGGTATTGCGAGTTCATCTTGGCTCCAGAATGTCCTGCTTTCAATCCGGATCTCAACCCATCAACCCATCAGGCTCCGTATGGTGCCTATCAGAGATGGAGGCTTCTGCTAAATCAATTAGAAACCTGAGGTCACCAAAGTGGTGCTGGAGGAAGCATGGGACGAAGTACGTCTTACTTGCGAAAATCATGGCTCTCCTCACTCCGTGAATGTGTCGAAAAAGGGAGCCGCATGGAATATTATACACATGTTTCATTCTCTAAATTGTCCGCATTGAATAGTATACGTATGTTCATTCTTCAGATTTTGCGCTTACGTAGTTGTAGAATTTATCTATCTGTTTGCTCTCCGGAATCAGAGAGATGCAACTTTAACGCATCTTGTTTGGGTGCGTAGTGTTAGGTGCCCAACCGAGGTGTGAATATTCACAGCTGTCAATGAGTATAAGAGCTAAGCCACGGCCCCTACTTGCTTTAGCAGTGGGCACCGGACGATACACGGAATCCCAGTGCTAGAACAGCTCACTCTAGCTCCTCAAAGCACTGACGCTTATCATTCACAAATTCTGAAGTGAGCAACACAGCAAAGAAATTGAAAAGTTTCCTTATGTAAGCAGGAATGCTGCTATGCATTATTCATGAATTTTTGAGTAGAAGTCTGAGCCGATGTCGTAAGTACTGACCTACTGACTCGGAAACCGATGACGTTTTATTGATATACAACCAATAAGCTTAATTACAGCAGAAGACTTCGACAGCGGTTGTTATTAGAAGATTTTTTGCTTCTTCCTGTTTCATTCCAATCGCAGACACGGTGAGATATAACTTTTTGGCATAAAATTTTCAGGTTGAAGTACACCTAGTACATCTTATAAACGAACGGGTTACGTACTCCACAAAGTTCCAGCGCAGCTCTCGTCGGAACCATTCTTCTAATCGGTTTCCCCACCTCATTGTCAAAAAATTTATTGAAAGCTTTGCATGAGACATAATTTTGGACAAAAATATGTCTCATGCAACTTAGTAGCCAAGAGCATTTCCATGCACTTGCTCCGTTGAGATCATGCTTTGGTTCAACGGAAACTTTGTTGAAATTCTCGCTGACTTTACCTTTCCGATCAGAACCATCACAAATTTTCTTTGCATAATCATGTGAAGTGACATTTGCTCATAACAACTTTTGAACCTGTTTTAAGCTTTCACACCAAAGGGGAGTCCACCAAGAAACGAATACGATAAAGATGAAGAGACTAAACAGGAGCGACAAGAATGCAAACTCTTCTAGAAGGCATTGGTAAGCTGGAACAAGTTTCAAGCGTCTTCCCTATCGGATGAACGGAGAAACAGCGCGCGGTCACTTATGTACAAGTACTTTGTGCCTTTCGTAAGGATTTTGACGCACATTATTCGAACTCGTATCTCCTTCGTCAGAGATGGTAATGAACGATACGAATAACTACGCAAGAAGAACTTATGCCCAATGTGCGTGGAAACTTGCCCACCTAGAAGATTAGACCACGGCTCTGCTTTTACTGTGAAAAAGTGAGAGGCACAACTGCAGCGAGACTGATGCCGCGAGACTCGGGTCCACACAAGTCCTTGTGCAGTGTCCCCGATAAAAAGGAAGTTCTGGAAAGATGGTAGACGACGCAAAGGCGGTATATTCGTTGAAGGGGTAAGATCACGAACACGAAAGGACACAAAGGAGAGTATCATGTCGAGCCGGGAGTGTCGCCAAAGGCGAGGAAGTCGAAGTGTAGTGTATTTAGATATTTGTAACTTTATTAATTGTTTTGTTTGTATATACTCTATTGTTTGTGTTGTGTTGATAAACCTCTAATGTTAGAACAGTACCTCAAAGGAGGTGGTTGGACAAACAAGTGAGTAAAAGTTATTGCGAATACCCCATCAGTCTATCATTGCCTTAGCAATTTGACTACACAAGCTAATCACTAGATTAGTTAACAGTGACAGCATGTACAGTCAACAATGATCTGAGGTATAAATACAGATGGATCAGGGAGGTCAAGCTATCTTCGACAAATCTTCCACAAGTTAGGGGTAGGGTCAGGCCCACAAGTACTCTGGGCTAGAAGCGACAAGCATACGGCTCACTAAGAGGTCTCTGCAGATCTATACACGAGTTTTCTGAGAAGCAATCGTGAGGGTTGACAAGTTTTGAGGAAAATTCGCTCTCTGTGTCATACAGCTGCTGTGTTTTGTTCCTAAATAAGGCTTGGTTACCTTCAAGGTAGTATTCCACACATCATTCATAGTTCCCGTTGCACGGATCCACCGAACGACATTTTGAAATTCACTTTGTTACATTCAACTGTCTATGCTATCGCTGATTGCTCTCTACACTAACTTTTGTAATACTTTGTACTCAATCTTCATTCAACCTTTCAGATCACCGCTTTGCCGAATTTCGTCGCGCCATGGTCCTCTTTGGTTCTGTATGCAACAGTGAATCATTGTAGATGTTAAAGGATGCCCATCACACTTGTCCAATGATTGCTTCATTTTTTTGAAAATGAAAGTTTTCAAAAACGCAATTTCTTTGCTGCTCTGATGCGAATTACCAATTCGTGATGCCCATTCAGTTCGCTCCATACTGTCTCCCTCTGTTTCTGTAAAGGATGCTTGATTCAATCTCATGGTCGACTTTCCCGAACTTAACGGAAGACTTTTTTCAAGTAAAACATCATTTTGCCATTTACCAACCGCATGCCGTTAGAGAATTATTTAGTGTAGTCTCCACTACATTTTAAAATGCCTTAGAAGAATAGGGAGCACGGGTCACAATTTTTGTTTGCACAAGTGTAGCAACCGCATTTATCAACATTCATCTCTTGCCAGCTCACTACCAGAATGGATTTTGATGTAAATTCGTCATGTTCTGCTTGAGAAAGTGCGTTGCCTACAACGCGACCAGCCGCATATCAATGAGAGGTCCGTACTTGAACCATCAATAAACAGCATAACGCAGTTCCCTCTTATCTCAATTCGGATATCATGGTGAATAATATTTTGCTTGAGATATGTTACAATGCGAAAACACTTCAGTTGGATGCTCTGTCATTCATTACGTACTGCTTTGATATCAGCGTCCAAAAACTGCCTACATACCCTTACAAATCACTTTACACACTTCAACCCGCGCACATAAACTTACTGTTCAAGAAATTTGGGAAATACGCGGCCCGGCTCGAGTGCTGCTAAAATCATGACAAGCTTTGCTGGCAGCTGTAATGTCAAATCAAATCCTTTTTTCTTTTTATCAAATAAGCAAGTTCAATACTTACATCGTAACTTTTACCATCTTTCGAGTAAAGCGAGTAGAGAAGAGACTGGAGTATGGACATGACGAATAATCGGATGTCATTGTTGTTAAGGTAGAATTCTTTTGCAACCTGAACGCACAGTCACCATAGCGTAAGTGGATTACATTGTTTCAAATTAATACCTTTCGTCTATGCTTTTTCACTCGTTCTTCTTCATAGCGTGCTGCAAACTCTCTCAGCAAGTTTTGAAAGAAGAGTAGCACTGTCGCGGTATGGTCGCTTTCATTTGCAGGATGCATAAATGGCTCGATCAGCTTCATCATGCGGTCAAGGTGTTTTTGGCAACTATAATAAACCCATACAGAAAACAGTCTTGCAACCAAGATTATACCTATATGGACCACCAATTGTGGAGGACACAAACTTTGCGAAACCGTCCAAGCTTGAAGAACCTGTGCCATCACCGACCTATGTTGATTTGAAGTAGCGTTTTGCGGCTTCGAACCAAAACTACTGTGAGACATACAACAATTTTGCCCTCTCTGATGCAAAGCCCCATAGCACGAATAATACGGGTGAATATTGAGTCATACATGGGCCGCCAATCCATAAAATCGGGGTTGTGATATGCCAGCCTGAAAGTTGAATAGTTGAACATATTGCAGTAGGACAATCCGTTGTTTGACATACGTTGCAAACAAAATTGGCAGGTCTTCCCCCCAGTTTTTTCCCATTTCCACGAACTCGTACATCTTCCACATAGTTTCGAACCATAACGAGGCACCATACTTTTTATGATCCTTAGCTTATCAAATTAATGCATCATCAGGTAAGGAACTGGAGCGTGTACCTCGGTTGACATTCGAACGTTGAGAAAAAGTAAAGCCATCTCGCAAAACTCCTTGCAAGAATAGCGAGGAGCTAAGTGGATTTGAACCTGCAACATCAAGTGAATCATTGAAAGGATGTGCCGGAAAATGATGACGTACTTTCTTCCAAATTCTAGGACTCTCCGCGGGGCTATAGAACCGCTTCAGACGGAATGTAGCTGTACGTATCCGTGAACCATCCACGTCCTCCAGTTTCCCATATGTTGCTCCATAGTACAAGTCATACACAGGCTCCCATTCCAAAACCATGTCTTCGTGCGTAAAGTAACATTTGCTGAAGAATTGGACAAACCACTTAATAAACCGCCACACTGTCTGTAGGTGAGTAACGCTATCAATCGCTGATGGAAATTGAGATTGATTCTTAAAGGTTATTTGAGTGGTAAAATGCAACATTTTGTTGTAAAAAATGTCACGTTATAAGTTCGTCTTGTTTCAAGCTGGTTATCTCGAAATTTAACTACAAGAGGATGCGTCATCGCGATGCGTGATGTTCATTCCTTACGTTCTGCCAATTTTTTAAAGGTATAAATTTTCAGCCATATTGGACACGTCTTCGGCAGCAACTCCCATTCATCACTTGTAAGTGAGAACAGTGATTGACACGAATTTAGGAGTGGTGTTAAATCAGTTTTGTCGAATATCGATTGATTCGAACAACAGTTGAGGTTTACGAGTATCGTAGCTCTCACTAAAAGCCCTGAAGGCCTCCAATGCGCAGTTATAACATCACGCTACAAAGTTACAAGGATGAGCTGAGTCAGTTTAGATGGAGTTGAGGCTTAGTGAAGCACTACACTTTCTACAAAATTTTCCTCATGTAACGCAATTCTGAGCTACAGAGCCATTTGCAGATTTCGGAACCTGGAGGTTACAGCGAAGTGATAAGGATGGACGATGTCCGACGTTATCATGACGGCGAGAATGATCCTTAGGAACTCATTCACCCTTCCACTTGCTATACCTGGCAACCTACTGTAGAGATTACCATAACATATGTATTGAAGTAGGGTGTTGAGCAATCGACCAAGATGGCAATTCTTTTATTAAC